GTGGGGGGGGGTGGGGCGTGCTCCGCACGCTGGTCCGCGTTTCAGCGCCAGGATTGCGCGGGGGTTTCCCTGTTGCCACGGCCGCCCCCTGCGAGTCCCGGCTCCGCCCGGCTTCTGGCAGCGCTGGGCCCCGGCCTCCGCGCGGCGACCGCTGGCGGGAGGCCTGGGCAGCCTGCGTGGACCCGAGAACGTGCCTCTTTCAGTTTGCGGGAGCCTCGAAGGCGCGCGCTCCTCGTCCCACCGTGCCTCAGTCCCCCGGGCGGGAAGCCAACCCCGCGTGTGCCCCAGCGGTGCCCGCCGCCCAACTTGCCCAAAGTGCACGGTTGGAGGTCCCCGGGGTGTCGCCCGTGGGCTGGCTGGCCCGACGTCCTCTTTGACAGGTGGGGAGACTCATGCACAGAGGGGAAGTGTCCAGGATGCAGTCGTGACCAGGAAGTCCTCTGAAAGATCATGTACCCCGAACGCCGGCCTTTGGGGTCCTCAGGGCAGCAATTAAAACGCGTGTCTTAATGGCTCATTATTCATATGGGCATTCCTGACCCCCATGTAGATCCGCGCGACCTTGGAGGGGGCGGCTGACTCCTGAGATCCAACCCGCCCCCCACACACACACACACCACTCTCCCCTCCCCCACCCCGCCCCAGCATGGCCCCCAGGCTCTCAGCACCACCTCCGAGGTGACTGGAGAGGTTTCATTTCCCACACTGCAGCCAGAGTGATCCTAAGGCAAAATACCAGACCAGTCACTTCCCTGCTTAAACCCTTGTCAATTTAAGAACGTCCAAACCTGTAGAGAATGTTATGAGTTTACCTGGGCCAAACAGAAGATACACCTGGAATCAAGATTTCAACAGACTGAGATAAATGCTCCCCCAAGATGACAGTTTGCAGCTTCTTTTATGCATTTGGGATTAAGGAGGTGACTAAGGAAAATGACATGAAGGTGGGAGAAAGCAGCCACCCAACTACAGGATAGTTAAGATTATGTGGTCATGCGTTTTTCGGAGGAGGGGTCTGAAAAGAGGCATTTCATAGGTGTGTTAATCCTGGATGCACAGAAACAGTGGACAGGGCTTGCTGAAGGCAAAGATAAGCCTTTTACTAAAAAGTTATGTGCCTGGGGCGTGACTACCCACCAGAACCTTCCCAGTTAGGAATTTCTGATCAGGTCACCCTGTGAGGTTACTTTCCATAAAGCACATTTTTGGTTCACATCCACCACGCTAATTTGAAATTGGAGCCCTGCCACAGCGCTCCCACCCTGGCAGGCCCTGCTTTCCCCTCGCCAGACTCCGGGGTCATCCCTCCCAGCGCTCTAGCTGCAGGAGCTTCCTGGAGTGCGCCAAGAGCCTGTCCTTGAACTTATCCGTGGCTCGTCCTTCCCATCTCTGCTGAAATCACCTCCGCGAGGACTTCCCAGAGTCATTCCTGTTCTTTTTAGCACCCTCTTTGTTTCCTGACCAGTTCTGATCATTAATTTCATTATTTCCTAGGTATCAGTTTACATAAGGCTTGTTTGGTGGTTGGTTGGGTTTCAACCCCATTAGACTATATCTGTAGGCCTAGTACCTGGTATACAGTAATATCTAATGGTTGAATAAGTGAGTTAGTGAATCTGGCTGTCAGGGTAGTGACCAGGAACAAATAATATACAAGAAAATGCTTTGTATTCTGCAAACCCAAAGTATGATTCGTGGGACAATAGACTGTGATCACCAGGGAGCTTGTTGAAAATGCAGAATCTCCCCAACCTATTGAACCAAAATCTGCATTTTAACAAGATTCCTGAGTGGTTTATTTGCACAATAAAGTTTGAGAAGCACTGCTGTAAAGAAGTATACTAGAGTGAGGTATTTTTACTTTTAGAAATCTTTTAAATTTTTTAATCTACAAAAGAAATACACGTTTGAACAACGCAGAGATACACACACTTCTTAAAAGTTGCCCACAATCCCCTTGTTCATAGATAATCATTATTCAACATTATTATACCCTTAGGTATTCAGTAATACTTGTTACATAATTCATAACAGGATTACTCATACATTGAGTAATTTGCTTATGAAATTTCCAGAGCAGTGGTTCTCAAAGTATGGTCTTGGAACCAGCTCCATCAGCGTCACCTGGAACTGCACTCGATCGGTGATTTCCAAACTTCAACATGCATCAGAATTCCTTCCGGAACATCTTAAAACACTGGTTGTTGGGACCTACCCCCCACCCCCCGAGTTTCTGATTCAGCAGCTCTGGGGTGGGACTCAAGAATTTGCATCTCTAACAAGTTTCCAGGTGCTGATGCTGCTGGCTCAGGGGTCATACTTGGGAGCCAGGAGAGTCCCAAGTCCCATGCTTCCTCAGAGCACTGTGGCAGTGACTCCTGGTGCACACAGAGGTGAGCACATTTATGAGAGTGGAAGGCTGTGGCCCACTTAGCCTAACCCCTTAGTATTGGGGGGTGGAGCTGACAAAGCACTGGGAACATGAGGCCGACGCTGTGCAAAGGAGCCCAGGACCAGCTTCCTGGGTGTTCAGGGCCTGCAGCTGGGAACCCCGAGCAGGAGCCACAGACACCACAGACGCCAGCCGGGCCCTTTGCAAATCAGTCTTCTCTTTTCATCCTAGCTGGGCAGCTGCCTGGGCTCATACTCGGTGGTCCCCTCCTGCCCACTCCTCCCACCTCCATCTCTGCTTGCCTGGAGTGCTCAGAATCTATGGACTGTACGCCCCACTCCCACTGTAGGTTTAGAAGCAGCTGCACCATCTCCACCAACTAAACACGTCCACCTGAACCCACAATCCACGTATTTCCTGACCAAACCGGCTTGTCCCCGCCTAGTCAGTGGAGCTCCTTGTACCTTTACAAAGCAGCTTATAAAGATGAAGTCCCATGAGCATTGCAGCACATAATATCCCACTGTGAAAGGGTACTTAGAAGTGGCCAGGGGCCACTGGGTGTTTTACTGCTGCATTTAATTCTTAAGGGCAGAGATGCTTTCAAATTCTGTGCCCAGCATTTAGAATCGCAGCCATGGTTATTCAATACAAATAGGCTGGTTTGGACTGTTCCATGTGCTTGGAAATATCTGTTGATTAATATCTCCAAAATTGTGTTAATACCTGCACCCCAATTGTTTAAAAAGCAAGCTACTGAAAAGCTAAATATTTTATCAGTAAGTAGGCAGAGCATGGATGGTTTTGTTTAAGTGTTTACCAATAATATATTGTTTATTGAATGAGAAATGTCCTATGCTCTATTTTACTGGTAAAGCCATTCCATGGCAATACTTGTTCCCCGTGGCCCTGCCTAGGCAACAGGAGCCATTATCAACACACAGCTTTCCTTTAGCCTTGAAGTCTATTTTCACGAGCATGCAGATGTAAAAATTGTCTGCCCATGAACACACTCGTGAAATGTGGAATTTTTTTTCATTATTTAGAGAATGCTTTATTAGTTTCTGTAATGAAATGTGGAATTTCCAACTTGACCTGCCCAGAACCTCAGTAACATCAATCAGATCGCGTCCCTCCCTAGCCCCAAACCCTCCATCCTCCAGCAGCACCTCGAATCACACTTAGTGTCAGGTCCTCCCCTTGACCCTCTGTGATCGGACCTCTTGTCACCTGTGTACCCTAATTTCCCTCTATGCCCCCCGCTTACTTCCCTCCAGCCACGCAGACTTCCTCGCTGTTCCTGGGCCTTGCCTTCGCCATACATTCATTCACTCACTGACCAAACGTCACTGGGCACCTAGGATGCCCTAGGCCCTTTTCCTGGTGGTGGGGAGATAGCAGTGAACACATTAGACACCCCTATCTTATTTGGACTTACATTCTGAGGGACGGGATGTTGAACAATGAAAAAAATAGATAGCATGCCTCATACAGTATATTAGAACGTGATGAGAGCTATGAAGGAAAAGGAAACAGGGGGCCGGCCGAGTGGCACGTTGTTTAGGAGTTGGCTTGGGACGCCAGCTCCGAGCAGTAGGGCCCCGGTTCGGATCCCACATGAGGACCAGTGACGCTGCACCCTCTACAGCTAAGATGGTGAACAACAGCTCGACCTGGAGCTGGGCTGCCGTGAGTTGCGGGCGACAGCATAGGCTGCAGGGAGAAAAAAAGAAAGAAAGAAAGAAAGAAAGAAAAAGGAAGCAGGGACAAGGACATCAGGAGGGGTGCAATTTTCAATACAATGGTCAGGGAAGTGCTCACCGAGGAAGTGACAGCTGAGCAAAGACTTGAAGAGCAAATGGAAGGAGAGATGTTGGAGACAGCCATCTAAACAACCCTGTCCAGGAGTTTTGTTGGGTAAAGTGAAACAGAGAGAAAAGTACCATCAAGAGAGGGTTTTTAGATTTTTTTTTTTCAATGGGGAAAGGGACCACATATTTCTATGATGATGAGAAGGATCCAGTGAGATGGGGTCGGAAGGAGGAGAATTGCTCATGTAGGAGAGAGGAGAACTTTCCCAGTGACATTTCTGAGTAGCAGACTGGGGCTGGGCGCCATCACATATTTCATCCATGCGGATAGGCAGGAAGGATTTGGGCAAGAATGAAATAGGTACGTATACAGGTGTTGGAATCTTGGGAGTGGTAGGTAGCTCTCCTGATTCATTTTCTCAGTGAAATAGGAAGCAGAGTTAGCTGAGAGCGAGGCCAGGCGAGCTGCTGCTGGGAACCAGCCGTCTAGGGGAGACAGTGAATGGCCTGAAAAGCGTGGCGTGATGGAAGCACGAAGGCGCCCCTTGGTCCCACCCACCACTCCGAGATT